AACATCAATTGATTCAATATCAACTGAGTCAATATCAACAGAATCAATATCAATGGAACCAATATCAATAGAATCAACGTCAACAGAATCAACATCAATGGAACCAATACCAACTGAACCAAAACGAATTGAACCAACAACATGTGAAAAACCAACAGCATTTCAACAACAATCAAATCGCAAACGCAAAGCAGAAGAAAAACATGATTATGAGCAACTGTCTCTGGAGATTGATGCATCGAAACAAAAAATAACGAGAAATCTCCGACCAAAACGACACAGACAATAAGGACACATTCACAATGGCAACAAAAACTGTTTTATATGTCTCACTATTTCTTCTCTCATCATAAAAGAACTAGCGTTTTTTGTTTTTCTTATAAGAGAAGGAATTCATTTATTCGTTCGTCGGCTTTTTTAAAGTATTACTTTCTCGAGACAATTCGTCAAATAAGAGACATATAAGCCATCGAAATTTATTCTCTTTCGTATTGCTCAACATTTTCTGAAAATATTTTTGATTGCTATAATAAATTTCCGCTTCTTTGTGATAGACACTTGAAAATTTTACTGTTAGCAAACCCGAAATTTCGATAGTTAGAATAGATACTTCAAAACATTTTCATTCAAAATTGAACAGTGAAACATAAAATAATACATGGTTCAACAAATCACGTACTTCCACACGGTGAGCGCGTTTTTTTCCAGATTATCGAATATTCATTTTTTTTTTCTTTTAAGTTGATTAAAATCGAAGTTCAGTTGCAAATCTTTATACATTTTGATATATGTATATTTCATGCATTCTGGTGAATCACAATCGAACAATTGAACTGTAAGTATATATACAATATATAATGTTTTATTTCTTTAGGTGCTCAGAGATTTAAGCCTAACCTTTTCCCGAATATTCTAGATTTAAATTCTATTTATTTAGGTGGATCCAGATCGAAGGGTAGACTTTTCTTCTCCTACTGCACTTTCATATTTTTCTATTTACGATGATCGTAATCGGACTGTAAATTTTTCTATATATTGATATGCGTCTATTTTATTTGTTTTTGAGTATCCAAAAACGAGATTTAAATGTAAGTCTTTATAGATTATCGAAAATTGATATTTTATATATTTAGGTGGATCGAGATTGCGCGTTAACTTTTTCTCTATTATTGTATATTTGAATCTTTTTCTTTTTAACCCAATCTAAAGCAAAACTATATAGGTTGTCGAATCCTGATTTTTTTATTTATTTAGACAGATCGGAATCTAGCTGTAAGTTTTTTTTGAGATTATCCTATATATATATATGTTGTATTTCTTTAGATGGATCAAATTTGAAATGTGAACGTAAATCTTTATACAGTTTGGTATCAATTCATTTTACGTATCTAGATGGGAACCTAAATCCGAACTAAACTGTAAGTTTTTTCTTTAGATTTCGATATATTGATGTAGTTTTTATTTAGATCGATCGAATTCGAAATGTATATGTAAATCTTTAAACAATTTGGTACATGTCCATTTGCTTATTGACATGGATCGACATCGAAGGGTAAGTTCTTTTTCTGATTATCGTATGTTTCAATTTTATTTAATTAGACGGATTCAGATTGAACTTTAATTTTTTTCTGTTATTGTACATTTCGATCGTTTTTTTTAGCCCGATATAAATTGAAATTGAATTCAAAGTATATATAGGTCGTCGAATATTGACGTTTTCGACAGATCAGTATCAAGCTGTAAGTTTTTTTTTTGAGATTATCCTATATATATATATACATGGCATTTCTTTAGATGGGTCGAATTCGAAATGTACATGTAAATCGTTAAACAATTTGATACATGTGTATGTGCTTATTTACGTGGATCGATATTAAAGGGTAAGTTTTTTTTCCGATTATCGTTTCTTTCAATTTTATTCATTTACGTGGATTTAGATTGTACTACCATTTTTTTTTCTTGTTATTGTATATTTGAGTCTTTTTATTTTTAACCCGATATAAATTGAAATTGAATTGTAAGTCTATACAGATTGTCCAATATTGATGTTTTATTTATTTAGGTGGATCAGAATCGAACTGTAAGTTTTTTTTGAGACTATTAGATATATATATATATTGTATTTCTTTACATAGGCCGAGTTCGAAATGCAAATGTAAATCTTTATACAGTTTG